TACATAATTTCATCAATATAGTTCGTGTTTATTTTAATTTTTAACTTGATAGAGAGAATCAATGTTGTTTATCGACACAAATTAGTTTGTAATCTTATTAGTAATGTCTCGACCAATTATCATATCGACCAATTTTCGTAGCGACCAATTTTCGGCGGCCAATTTTCGTTCGACCATTTTTCGTTCGACCAATTTTCGCTTTCCCCAAGCTGCTATACTTGCTAATAAATACACATCAACATTTTCTACTTGGGTGTCATCACAAATTTGGCTTTACACACAGCTGCCTTCAACAGGTCTTGCCTCGACACTAACTGCCATCATACCCAACAGTCAGCAACCTCTGCCATCAACAATCAATAGTCAATTCCTCAACATACTTTCAACTCCAAGTTCATTGGCCGTGTTAGATGTATCAGGTGGAATTCTTTTTCTTATATCTACTGAACCGGGTTACTATGCTTCGACAGATACAAGTCTTGGATCAACGTCTATTACAATGCCTGTCATCAGTACAACACAAAATTGTCTTGGAGGTATGATGAAGAACGACAATGGAGTCCATCCATGCTCACTTTGCAGTACGGGCTCAAGAAGTGGAGTAGGTAGCATAAACTGCACTGTTTGTAATGCAGCGGCTTTCTGTCCACTTGGCGCCGTGGCTGAAGTCGCCCTTAGCAATTTAGAAGTGACATCGCAAGCATATTCTTACAAAGAAAATCCTGACACAACCTCGTTCGATGATATTCTGTTAGCGAATGTATTTAAAATTGGTTCGGATAGTCGTTGTGTTGGTATCTCTCCCTTGTTCTGGGCTCTCATTGTTCTGATTCCGGTAATAGCTGTTGGTGCCACTCTGCTAACATGTCAATTTTATTACAGAGATTCACATCATTCTCGTCATATTAAAGCCATTCAAAGATGTTTTAAACGAACTGATGTCATCGTAAGCTATTTTGTTTTTTTTAAAACTATGCAGCATGAAGGTTTTCCTTGTCAGAAAATTCAAACATCATCCTTGATGAAGTCATTTCGTTCTAGAAACACACTCACAGAAAACCGAGTTTTGAAAGAAAATTACTTTGCAAAGAAAACGCCATAGATAAAGAACTTATCGAAGATATTAAAATTTGCATACTACCGTTTTAACCCATTGGCGGTGACGTTTTTTTTTATGATAAATGTGTTCGTATGTAATAGAAAATAGTTTTTATCATTGTGTTGAAAAGCTCGTGCGTCTGAAAGGAAAAGCAGCTTTCTCAATCGCTGCGAATTCCATAAGCCAATAATCAATTATATTTGTAATATAATTTTTATTAGAAGTGTTTCAATGTGTGATGGGCTTCAAAAAATGGCACTACGCATAAACTAATACTGAAAATATAGATGGAATATACATGTGTGATAGTGCTCTATTATGACGCTACAAATGTCAGAAAACGATGCACGATGCACAAGTACAAATTCTACAAATTTAACAAGTTACTCCTTTCAATTTTTTCAGACAGATGAAACGTAGCGTTCAAAATTTCTCATTAAGAATGTGTATTTATCGTAAAATTATCATTGCCATCAGACTCACTATGCTTGTGATAGTCAGAGCTCCTTAGATACTGGTGTCAAATTGTACCTGGAAGCATATTCATACGAATCAAATACTGAAAAACCGGTACTTCTTCAGAATACGCACACCCCTTCACCCACACTCATTGTCGTGCCAGCCAATGTGTGCATAGGTTATGTGTATTCTGAAGAAGAACCGAAAAACCTTACCGTCCCATATATGGGACACGCGCCGCGAATGGTTTAAGATACAAAAATAATTAAGCTAAATTTTGAACTAGAAATTTTCGCATAGTTATCAGTTGGAAATTGTCATAATTCGAAGAATTTTTAATGTTGAAACTAATTTTATAATATCATGACATCAGTCTTATTGTATCTAAGTTGAAACTTAGAAAGACGCGACCGAAATAAATATTATTTTGGTATGTTCGAAAAAATGTTTCAGATATAGTTTCAACAATGTAAAAAATACTTCAATTCTATTATCAGAAAATGTGAAAAATAGGCGTCTGAATAGGAAATTTTTCGTAGACTTTGATTTATCGTAAATCTATTTATCGCAAAATAATATTAAAAATGAAGAAAATTTGTGAATTTCCCAGCACTGTAACTGCATGTTTAAAAATACCGACGCATGACTCAATTATTGACATCTTCAACAGAATTAGTCAATTTTACTCTTCAAAAGATGGCGGCTCAATTTGTCCCACCTGTTTTCAATTAGAGAAAATGTTTACTCTACATTAAAATCTTATAATATTTAGGATAAACAAGGTGCCTATCTACCATATCATGCAAATCTTTCCTCTCTTTCTCCATGCCATATGGATCATTCTCAGCTGTCCTTTTCTCTTTTTTTTTTACTATATAGTGACGCATGATTTGTCCCTCTCCTCTTTTGATGTATCATCATCGGATTTTTATCTGTTCATTTTAAATACAATATAACAGATTGGTTGATGAGCCATTTTTCTATTGAAAACATTCCATTGTTAAAGGGTTGAAAATCATTTTTCCATTGAAAACTCGGAGCCAAAACCAAAATATTCTTCCAAGTACTATCGAATCGAAGATAGATTTCTTTCTCACCAAATGCTATTAATAGTTAGAATCAGGCAAGCAGACATATATTGTGAGCTCGGAAACAAACATGCATACAAACAATTAGTTTAAGATGACTATATAGTAGTAGGGTTTTATTGCGATACTTTGAGAAACACGATCTGCAAGAAGTATCAACTTACACAAGATAGAAATCGATACTTTTTCCCCATGAATTGAGAGATACATTTTATTAAATTCATCAAGTGAATTCTATTCATATGGCTAATGCACTAAGACAAGCCAAGGCAGATAGAACCGAAAATTATCACAGACACTAACAAGTAGATTCGAGAGGCGATGAGAAATAATATGTGACTAACATCAAGTTAAAATGTACAAATTGACTATTTAATTGCTGAAACTTTATGCCTGTAAAGTCACAGATAATTACCATACTTGTTGTAATATACATTCAAAAAATGTTTTACCGATGAGCAACAATTGGCGAATCGTTTTTCACATTTTAATCTCCTATGAATTACACTGATGGTTACTAGTTTGATGAAATGTGAAATAATAGATATCGATTCAATTGTTTTAAATGTCGTGAGATGATCTTCTTCTTGAATGAAATTTTCAAAAACTATTTATATATTTGTAAGTTTCATTATTAGTTAGTATTAATTTTATTAATTGAATGATAGTATGATGAAAAATTCAACCCCTGCTATGCCTATTAAGAATATAGCGAAAAGTTTTTTTTTTCTAATTTAATATGAGGCAGTCTAAAATTTCTCTGAAAATGTAAGCTTGACTTTTATGAAACTCGATCTAAAAAAAGTGCTAAAGTATATAGGATAGAAATTTTGACCTCCTGCTACTTTCCCTCATATAAATAGGGCGTCGCAAGTACTTTGATATATGAAATAATTTTAAAGATTCAATTAACATGCTGAACATAGGAGACCATTACAAACAATCTTCCAAGTTATCACACATCGTTATGAACAGATCTGAAAGGCATTAGAGAGTTCTGTGGACAATTTTGAAAAGCATCATGCACTATTACAGACGGGTTTTAAATCCATCGCATACCATAAGGGATAGCTTTAAAATCTATCCAAAAATTGGGAACAGATGTTCTCTAAAATAAGTTACAAATATTATGTCGGTAAACTGCTGTTATATTATGCGAACTACACTGTAAAAAAATAGATGTTTTACCGAACCTAGACACATAGGAAGAACCTTTTTTGATTTCGAATGAAAATTTTTGTTCTGTGAAAACGTGTCGAATTCTGTTTTAAGTTCAACAATTTTTTACGGAAGCAAAAACGCTCTTTCTCTGGGCACAGATTTGGTAAAACATCTATTGTTTTTAGAGTATACTTACTATCGTTGTAAAACACTGAGCGCAGAGTTGGAAAGAAACTATTTCTAGTTGTTTATCAACAATAGCTCTTTCGTATTTCATTCTTTGTCCTTCAAGATATTATATTAATACCTTCTTCTTTATTATTTTCGTCTAGGGTGAAGGTGACATGTGGATTGGCGGTTTGATGACGATTGTACTCGTTGCACTTTGTATTCAAGCGTATGTCTTTAGTACTGCATTCCTGAATCAATATCCGTCAGAAAAAGTTAGTGATAGTACCTTTGCTTGTGATGTTACACTTCGTAACGCTCTGTTTGAAACATCTTTACGATCGCTTGCCATTCCGAGATCCGATGAAGAGCAAAAAATGTTCGATTTACTTGATAGTCAACCTTGGACTATACGTGTTTATTTGATCAATACATTCATTAATTGTTCTTCAATATCTGCCTACCAAATTGTCGGTACATCATCGATTCCAATCACTAGTTTGTCGTGTACAAGTGCAAATTCAATAATAACATTATCCCTACTCTTATCGTCTGATACGGAAACAATAGCCCTGACCATTAACGATATTAGACCTATTGGAGCCATATCGGTGGGTGCGACTGCTCCAGCAAATGATACTGAAAACACAGCGCTTAAAGCACTCAATTTCATGCAAACATTTTACAGTACTAGCCAAACACTAGCTCAATCAGTTCTTATCTCTCTTACGATCACCAAGGTAAGACAAAGATAAATTGTACTAATACGTGCAAATATATATGTGTGGAAGTTGATATTGTCTATGAATCACTTTTTCAAGAAGATTTCGATAACTTTTTGATACTGATGTGGTTTCTTAGGCACGATTTTGAGACAGGATAATTTTACAGGATAAAAAGAAATCATTCCACAATCATCATACAGAACGATTGTTAAAAGTATGTCACCTGCTTAGATTATGCTAAGTAAAACAGAAATCGTGAAGAAAAATCATTATAGTCTTAGAAAAAATCTAATGGAATCTACAGACCATAAGAAGCTTTTAAAGAAAAACTCTCTAAGAATCCTTTCCTTCGTTTCGTACGGAAGTTTTCTCTGTTGACAACTTAAAAGAACTCCTTAAAAAGACTTGTTCTTTTAGTTAACTAATAAAATATTTACGACTTCGTACGATCATCGAATATTTTCCTATGCCTGTTATTACACTGTTAACTTGTTTCAGCACTGACGTTTCATTCATGTTTTTCGAAGACAATATTCTAACTTTGAGTTCTTACTGGTATGTAACTATTTGATTTTAAATTAATTACTAATAGAAAGTACATGTTGTGAACACTTTATCAGAAAAATAATTGCTACAAGTTTTCGCAACTTTGGGAGAGACATATGAAAACATAAGATTGCCTTTTGATGAAAGCTACTTTACTTAATTTAGTTCACTTTGTACAAATGCTGAAGATATCATTATTGGTTTCATTTGTAATATGCTTTTTTATTGAATAATGATCATTTTGCTATTTCTTTCATTTGTTAAAATAGTCTTACAGAAGACGTTGAATGATAGCATTTCGTGCTAAAATTTTCATCATTAATAGATCTCGATTTTCGCTAGAGCACTTTCTCATAGTTACAGATAAAACAAACTCACTCTAAGTAGAATACCATATTATTATTCAAGTTTCTAATCTTGAGATGCCATCTCACACAAATTCGTATATATAAGATAAAACATCTTGGTGAGAATAAACTCAATCTTTTATCGCACTCTGAGGAATGTTAAATAACCATTAAATCTGCAATTGACGAAAATATTACTTTAAAATTAGACCATTCAATCTTTCCAGTAGTATTAACATGTCCATAGGCAAAAAATGATCGAGTTAAAATTTCATAACTCGACAAGAAACGATAAGAACTTGAAAAGAAACTGAATTATTCAGTGTTGATCAATATCAACTGAATTGATGATGTTTCGATAGAAAAGAAAAAAAATGAAGAGACTTTCTTTTTGAGTTTTGTATACCTATCGTGGAAAATGATTCGTATAGATGGTTTCTTTGTTCAATAATTACTCTTATTCCGCTTATAGAGTCTTCAAAAAAGACGTTTTTCTGTTACTTAAAACATTAATCAAATGTCTGAAACAGCATCTGAAGTTATTGGTAAATGCACATATATATATATCTTCATTTTACAAAATTCTATAGAATCTTTTAGTTCGAAATTGCATTTAAGCCATCTGGAAGAACATACCATGATGTTACTTTTAACTTTTTTGCAATAGATACTCGATATACATATGTACGCAGATTTGTAGATATTCCTATGAGTTGTTAATTTATTGTATGAAGATATGGCTATCTATTTACATAACTGCCGATGCCATACATTACAATTTGATCAAAGAAAAACTATTTTACCAAACTGTAACAAAATAATTAAGCAAGAACTTTTTAATTGAAATAAGTTCAGGAACAACTTTTCTTCTCTCCTAAAAGTGATATGAAATCGGTCACTCAATGAAATATCGATCGAAAATACAGTACCCGATAAAAGTATCCTCCCCCCTTGGATCTCAGTCACAATATGAGCTGTAGGTCTGAAAACTAGTGTACACATAGTTCTCAATGAATGCTGATCAGTGGATACCATCGGCACCTCGATTGCATGGAGTAAAAGAAAGTTATAATGTATGTAGTCTCTATCCATTGTGAACTTCATAACTCAGGAAGGAAAAGATTTTATGGATCGGGGTTGGTTTCATTTTGTAGCTCTGCATTTTGGCTATTTATAGTAAACGTTTCATTGAAATTCAAAGAGTTATTATAGAACTAGAATCATTTTATTGTAAGTATCGATATATAGCAAAACCGATCTGTCGCATTGTGTAGTTCATAAATCAGTGAAAGTTTGACAGATCGACTTCAAACTTACAGAGAAGGTTGCCCTACAGACTCTTATTGTTCTCTGAAATTTTCAAACTTATATCTTTTACTAGAGGGAAATGGCACTATGTTCAAGTTCTAGATGTT